GATGGGAAAAGACAAAGAAACTGGGACTGTTTTCAACCATAAAGAAGGAACAAAATCATGCCATTTGTAGAAAAATGGGTGCAATGTGGGATAATTATATAAGTGAACTAAGCCCATCTCAGAAAGACATCACATGTTTTCTCATTTGCGGAGCCTAGACTTTATATATATATATATAAAATCATATATGTATGGCACAAGAGTAGAAACAAAACTGTTTAGGCAGGAAGAGGGTGTGTGGGAAATAGGCTTAGCACAAATACATGTGTATAGGAAAACTTACATTTAAAAAATGAAACTAAGGAGAGCTGCTTCAGCATAGCCTAGGGTTTTGTTTTTTGTTTTGTTTTGTTTTGCTTGGCCTGCTTGTTCAGGTCAGGGAAGCTACAGAGCCAGGCACCTGCATTTTACTAAGCTCCATGCACCAGTCTGGTGACCCCGGCGCCTCAGGCTTTGTGGTGGTCAGCAGTCTGCAGTCTTCCAACAGTTGCCTACCCTGTGCCAGCCCCTGAGTGGGGAACAAGTTTCCATGGTCAGCTCTGGCTTGGCAAGATCCCTAGCCACACACCAGGTAGACCCTTTGGGGAACATTGTAGCAATTGCTATGGCAGCCCCTGAGATGAGTGGGCAAGCCCAGCAGAGGAACAGGGCATTCAGGCCTCCAGTGAGCCACTGGCTCTGCTCGAAGCCAGTGTCCAGTGTCAGGGTGGTAAAAGCCCTTCCTGCATTCCATACACAGGGGATCTATTTTCAGTTTCTCTGATTTTCAAGACTTTTGCCTGTTAGCATGTTGTGGAGACTCACATGCGTACAGTGCTGGGTGACTGGGAAAGGCAGAAGTCAGGGCAGCCATGGGACTCCCAGCCCCTTTATCTTCCCAGCTTGGCTAGCGGAGCAGACCTGAGCTCAGGAGAGAGGCAAACACCTCCCCACTGTCTCCACACAGCCAAGGTGGCGCTCCCTGCCCCTAATTCCTCTTGGCCAGAGCAGAACTCCCCATGTTTTCAGGTGGGGACTAAATCAATCCAAGTCAACTTTGTTCTTTGTATGGGCAGCCTGGTCTCTTCCTACTCAAGGTGGCAGAACTTCAGGATAAACCTGAAGGAAGGGAGGCAGGGAAGAAAGATGAGCAAACTAGAAAAGTAAAACAACACCGAGGACTGTGTGCTGCTTCATCTCAAAAACATGTCTCCAAGGATAGCTATTAACAAAAACAGAAAACATGGTTAAACCATGTGTGCTGGGAAGTAATGAGAGCAGCTAAGACCATAAGAAAATTGCAAGTACATTTCTGTGCAAAGAAATTTGAAACTTAAAAGGAATGGGTAATTTTCCAGGAAAATGTAATTACCAAAATCACTCAAGAAATAGAAGACACGAGCTGGGCATGCTGGTGCACATTTGCTATCCCAGCACTTGGGGGTGAGAATTAACAGGCCATGTGACCTCAGGTTTATGATGGAGTGAACAGGAACAGGAAGTGACTCGGATGTCAAACTGTGTCTCCAACAGGTGAGCAGCATGGAGTGACTCAGGACATAGATCTTTGCTGCTTGTTATTCCTGATGGAGGGTAGGAAGGGACAGTGTGACCTGAACACAGCAGGGTTGTGTGGCAAAGCTGATAACACCCAGACGAGCAGTGATTCTCTGTGTGTACTCCATATCAACTCTGAGCCCGTGTAGATTGATACCATGTGTTGCTCAGGAATATGTTTGTATGTCTTTTATGTGTGTGATTTATTGAAAACATACCTAGGAATGACTGAACACCAAATTTGGGGTAGTGGTTCCCTCCTTGACAGTGGGAGCTGAGGTAGAAAGGGACGTGAAAGGATAACTATTATCCTACCCTTTCATTTGAAAGTTCTGAACCAAATGGCAGCATTGCAGACTGTTAAGACATGACCACAGGGTGAAGGCCTGCTTGCTTGTTATTGTCTCTACATTAACCAGTGAACTACATTACGCATGTCTTGATGTCACATGAGGTGAAGTTGCCTGCCTAGAGACCCAGGGGCACTCATCACCCTGGTGACCTTACTGTAGCCAGAACTGGGCGCTCACCCTTGGCATGTGTCATGTTCTGGTCGACTTCTTATTGTGTGTCCTCAGCTTTACCCTGGTGATACCCATGGACAGTGCTAGGATCAGTAAGGCCACCATATCGAGGTCACAGTGACATGTATTGATCTTTACAAATGACCCCACAGTATTTAGGATCATTCAGTCTGTGAATGTAGCGTCAGTCTGTCCCTGAGAGTCAGTGTAGCTTTGATTTGCTGTTGGAAAAAGTAAAGCAGAGGGAGAAAGGCCTGGTATTTGCAAAGATGAGAGTCATGTCCTGGAGAAAAAGGGTTCTTCTGGACCTCTTTCTAGCTAAACTACAGGTTTTTAAAATCTTTTAATCTTACTTTCTAAATTCATATGTGTAAACTGCATTTATGTGGTTTTCCCCAGATTTCTCAAATTCTTGACCTCTTTTTCTTTATTATTGTTACTATTTGTGAATATGTGCAAATACAACCTGCTGAATCTCTTCAGTGTTACTCTTGTGTGTGTGTGTGTGTGTGTGTGTGTGTGTGTGTGTGTATTTTCTCTTTATATGTCTTATTTGTCATTTTAAGGGACAGGGAGCTTCTAGAATGACTATGTCATACACGTCTTTGGAGCCTCAAGTGAGCTAGGGCCCAGAGTGGGCTTTTAGTGGTGTGGCTCTGGGAAAAGAGAACCCAGCTGCAGCCTCCTCTTGCTGTCAGCTACTCAGTCCTGCATAGCTGGGGAGGAAGCACCCCACAGCTGACTCCTAACAGCTGCCACCCTGGTTCCTACCGCCTCTGGAGCAGAAAGGACTGGCCAGTGGGGCCAAGAAAACTCTTTAAATGCAAAATGCATGGCTTTTCTTTTTAAAGAGATTCACCTGAGGCCCCATCTTGGTTGAGTGTGAGGCTCATCTATCTGGATTCATGCACACACTTCAACCCATGGGGTGTGAGATCCTTCGGTTTCTACTTGTTACTGTTCTACCTTAAGATGGGATCCTGCTGAAGCCTCATGATTGCCAAGACTGAGCGCTTGATGTCTTATGAATATGTAAAGGAGTTTTAATAAAATGGTGTGAAGCAGCAGCCCTGCTTGTTCCAGAAAATGCTTCCAGAGCCCCAGGAGACTTCCAAAGGCTCCTGGAAGATGAGCTTCCTGCAGAGAAAAGGAAAATGAGAGAATAGGGCATGATTGGATGGGCCCAGAATCCAGCAGTTTAAGGATGAAAAATGCTGCCCCATGTTTCTCGAACTCCCACCAGGCCTGTAAGCCCTATTGAGTTTCTCAGCATAGATCTGCTGGCTCAGTCATTCCTGCTGGTCTAAGTGGAGACCTGGCTGCAGAGGGCAATGGGCCTCAAAGCACGGAGCCCTCTCTCCTGTAGCATTACAGGTTGGCTTCTTGACAGTGACATTATTTGGTAGTTTGTTTACAGTTGAAGCTTTGCAGATCTTTAATGTAACGTTCAGCTATTTTTTATCAGTTTGCTTGTCCATGAAGACTCATTTACAGTGAGACCAGATACTAACTGTAGAATTCATTCCCCTAGCCCCCCAAACAACTGTTACACATTTTTTTTTGGTGATTAATTAAAAGGAACTTACTATAATGACTAAAATTACCCAAAGACACCCCTTCTGCAATCCTAGCCTAATTGCCTTCTAATTGCACTGCTTTTCTTGCTTATGCTCAAAATCTGTGGGTCTGAGCTCATTTTGTCAGTCCTGGGGGAGCACATATGTCCTAGTGCTTGCCCAGTCAATATCTCTGTTGGTGTCAACAACTGCTACTCTAGCTCAGAGGTTGAATGTTGAACCATGACTGAGCTCCAGGGTTCTTCCAAAATCATCTCCTTCTCCCACTTGTTTCCATTCAAGATAGATACTCATTGGAACTGACAATGAGGCTGCCAGGTAAACCGAGTCTTCAGTGTGTGGGGCCATGGAAGGCTCTGCCACCTCAAGAGATGACAAGAATAAGCATGGAGGAGCCTGGGCTGGGGCAGGGACTGGATTCCCTTGGGGTTCACAGTTCCCTCCTCAGTTCAGTAGCCCCTCTCACCCTGCTCCCTCAATCTGGAGTCGGTGGCATCACCATTGACAACTCGGGACTCTGGCTGTATTCAGACACAGTTGACAGTTTCCTGGGGCTCTGGCAAGCCCCCTACCCTCCCCAGAGGACCGTGTGGAGACTCTGGGACACTGCTCTGTGCTGGCATCTCCAGACTGGAAAGAGTCCTCACATGGGTTCTGCTGAGCTGGATCCTATCATGCTGGGTATTTTGATCATGTGATACTTGAACGTGTCAGCCAAGACCCAGCAGAGGTGTATCTTTAAAACTGGCCTTCAGTGACTCATGTGTGAGGCATCCGGAGTCAACTGAAGAGGTCCTGTGCCACCTGGCATCTTTGCAGGTCTAGATCCTTATGCCCTTGTGCTTGAGGTCATCCTAATGTGTCTGCCCACTTGCCAGGCCTGGTTCCATGAGCATAGTCACCAGGTTACTTGGAGGAGACTTGTCAGGCAGTGTGAAGGTCGGCAGTCAGTGGGTTGTTACTGGGAGAGCCTTTCACCCAAGCAGCACATGCCTGTCACAGGCAAAGCACAAGGTGAGGAAAGAAACAATGGTACCAGTCCCCCAGAAATAACTAAGAACTGAGGCGGGCAGGCGTGTGACTGAGGTGTCTGCCTGAATGTGGGAGGATTTCACTGCTCAGAACACACGTTTGACATGTTAGAAACCTGCTCTGGGTTCATACAGTGTGCAGAGCTCCCTTGTCTGTAAGCAGGATCTGGTTGTATCTTCTGCTTCCATATGCCCCATCTATGCTAGAACCTCCCACAGCGGATGGGCTAGCTGCAGTCTTTGGCCTTGGCAGCCCCCTCTGCTTGTCAGTCGGGGGTGATCTCTGGCAGGTTGTGTCCTTTGTTCACAGGATAGTCTTTCTTTTCCCTCAGGTGTCAGCGGAAGCAGTGGCGGGGGGACCTGCCAGCTACCAGTGTGGTGATCACATTTCACAATGAAGCCAGGTCAGCGTTGCTGCGGACAGTGGTCAGGTAAGGCCAACAGATAGCTCCAACATCTCACAGGAAGGGTGGGGGTACTACCTCCCAACAGCTGCATCTCAGGCATGGACGGCAGGAGCTACAGACGAGGTCATCCAGCTGCCGAGCATGGCGCATGGGGTAGCTACTGGCTCCTCTGGCCAAGGCTGGGGACCACAAGAGAGAGGTGGCTCTAAGTGGAGCTCTGCCCTTACAAGGCTCTGTCCTTCTGTCTGTTCTCAGTGTCCTTAAGAGGAGTCCACCGCATCTCATCAAGGAGATAATCCTGGTGGATGACTACAGCAATGACCGTGAGTTCCATAGCCTCACCCCTAGCATCAGCCTTCCTGGTTTAGGGTGTCTGGGAGGAGTGACCTAATGCAGTATAGAGTGGAGCAGGCATATGGGGCAGGGAAGGAATGTCCTCCAGAGATGTGGCCTTGCACCCTAGAACCCTGTGTGGACTCAGAGTTCACCATTCTCTGCCTCTTTTCTCTCCTTAGCTGAGGATGGGGCCCTCTTGGGAAAAATCGAGAAAGTGAGGGTCCTCAGAAATGACCGACGAGAAGGTAAGAAAGTCCCTCTCTTGTGCCACTTGTGAGATATGTTTTAGTTATTTTTCTCATTGGCGTGACAAATGCAGTTTAAGGAGGGGAGAGTTTGTTTTGGCTCCTAGTTCCAAGGGATACAGTCCATCGTGGTGGCTGGAATGTGTGGCAGCTGGTCACTGTGGTCCACAGCAAGCAGACAGGAGTGAGTGCTTGTGGGCAGCCCTCTTTCTCTTTACAAAGCCAGAACCCAGCCTGTGGGATGGTGCCACCCACTTTTGACCTGATTTTAGAGATTTCCCCTCAGACATACCCAGAGGTGTTTCCATGGTGACTCTTTAAGTCCTGTCAAGGTGACAATCAAGATTGACCATCACACGCTAGACTCCTGTGTCAGTGCTGTGCACCGCACTTGCTCTGGAGGGAGTCAGAGTGCTCTGAATGACATCTACTGTGGAAGAGTGTCATGAGCTTAAAGTCATAAGTCTGTACACTTACTAAGTATATTGGTAGGGACATTAATTAGACAAGTGATGGCAGAGCAGAGGGACCAACGGCTCTGTGAGGTTGGTAGGTCGTGACCTGCTGTAAATCTGAAGTCACCAGGATGCTTGGTCACCTTGGTGCTGACAGGCCAGCAGGGCTGGAGAGATGGCTCCACAGTGAAGAACCCAGGTCCTCTGCTCTTCCAGAGAACCCAGGTTCAAGTTCCAGCATCTACATGGCAGCACACAGCTGTCTGTAACTGCCAGTTTGAGGGGCTCCAACATCCTATTCAGGTAGTAGGCATATGGTACACATACATACATGAAGACAAAACTAACTTACCATGCACATAAAATTAAAATTTAATAAAAAAAAAAAAAAGAGGGGACAAGATAATTTTGGCTTGTGATCTGTAACATTGGAACTTCCCACGAAATTCTAGTCAGTCAGGCAGTTTGCACAGCCTTCTACACAGACAGAGCTTCTTCGGGGATTCCAGTTCCCGCCTCTCCTGGCCCAGTTGTAACTACTTCAGGGGAACTGAAGAGAAACTGGAGAGAAACTGTCTGTTTCTCTCCCTCCACCAGAGCCACCCAGTAGCCCTGTCCCAGCAGATACAGGAAGGAAAATCACAGCATAACTAATTGGAATTATTTATATGTAAGGCCAAATTTTCAAACCACATTTCTGTATACACATTGGGGAAATTAGCTACTGTCTTCCACTCACAGCCAGACAAGTCCCATCAGTTCCTTGACTGCAAAGGTTTAGAAAAAGCATTAAGGCTTAGCCATGAGGAGTCCAGTGTCTCCGTGTTGCAGGCATGTGATATAATCACAGATTCAAGTTTGACAGCCTGCTGAAGGAGAACCGTCCCAAACAGGGAGAGAGAGCTGTCATTTCATGTTGACATGATTTTGCAAATGCCAGCCCTTCACCAGCTGTCAGTCTCATCTGTGTGGGCAGTTATAGAAAAGTCTGCCTTCCCACTGCAGGGTGTGGAAACTTCTCAGGGCGACTCAGGTGTGTGACTGTTTTGGGCTAACCCTCTTCCAGTTTCCAGCAGTCAGTGTGATAGCACTTTGCCAGTCCACTGTACAAGACTGACATGGATCCAGGAGTGGCATTTGTGCCCCTATTCAGTGCAAACTCTTCCAGGTCCCCGTGTGCAGCTACAGTCAAGACACAAAGGTGTTCTTACAAGGATTATTTTTTAACTTTATGTGTGTGGATATTTTTCCTTCATGTGTGTCTGTGTACCATATGTGAGCTTGGTGCCTGCAGAGGCCAGAAGAGGGTGTCAGGTCCCCTGGAGCTGGACTTACAGACAGTTGTGAGCCACCATATAGGTGCTGCAAATCAAACCTAGGTCCTCTAGAAAAACAGCCAGTGCTCTTACCTGTTGAGCCAACTCTCCAGCCCAGCAAGGATTTTTTTTTTTAATTTTTAAAATTTGTGTGTATGTCTATGTTTGGATATGTCATGTGTGTGCAGGTGCCCATGGAGATTAGAAGAAGGCATCTGATCCATAGGAGCTGGAGTAACAGAAGGTTATAAGCTGCCTGGTGTGGGTGCTGGGAACCAAACTCAGATCCTCTGGAAGAACAGCAAGTGCTCTTAACTGCTGACCATCTCTCCAGCCCCCAGAATATTTTTTTCTTTAAATCATACATTTATTAAACATTCAACATGTGTTTTACACTGCTAGACACTAGAGGGCACAAGGATAAGTATGTGAAGGCTATTATTCCTGCCCTTGGGGTGCTTGCATTTTAATTTTGGAAATAAATATGAATGTGAAACTATCATGCGGTTGCTTGAAATTGCAGGGCAGCACATCAGTAAGTATATGGAGGGTTCAGTACGTGGTGACATCAGTCAGAAAACGCTCACCTGGCAGACACTGAGGAAATGAGGCTCTATAGAGAAGGGCAGTCTTCGGTTAGGGCCAAAGAATAACCTAGGTAAAAAGGAATCTCATGAATAAGGCACTGAGGCAAGCAACAGAAGGCTCGCTGGACTCAAATCAGTGCAGTAGCTGAGCCCACTGCTACCCAAACCCAAGGTCACCAGCCCACACCACATAGACAGTAAGGTTATCCTCACCCTGAACAGGTCTGCTGCAGGACTCAAGTCAACCAAAGAGCATCTGATCCCCGAGTTCTTCCCCAAACAACCTACCAAATGACTGGTTTCCAACTTTTTTGTTCTACTCTCCCACCTAAAAAGGGAGGTCAACAAGGGGTCAGAAAAGAGGCAGGGGAGAGTAGGGAGGGTAGGGGATGAAAGAATAACTGGTAAACCACTTTAGCTAGCCATAGTGGTTTGGTCCATTCAGAACAGCGCATCTAAATGTTAGCCCTTGTGTTGTTTTAGCTAAGGTGCTTCCTTGGTAGGAGCCGCACCTTTTGCTATTTCTGGGACTTTGAGAAGCCAGATCATGGCCTGTGTGGAACAGCAGCATGTGTGACAGCTGAGCAGAAAAGCTCATGAAGATCAGATGCATGACAAAGCTGTGTGTGCACACTGATCTCAAGCCCCACGTGTGAACCATGGCACAAATGACAGTTAATTAGCAGCTTGAAGCTTGTCCATAAATCCTGAGAGCCCCCAGTCTCCCTCCCCTCCCGTCCTGTTCCATGTACCATGCTGCCACCTCTCCTCTAGTAAGTCGCAAATCCCATAGTGCAATGTTAGAAATCTCCCCTCAGACCCTCAGTTACTCTTTAAAGAAATTAAAAGGGTAGAGAGGTAGACTATGCAGCTCTGCTCCAAGTCTGCTGCTGCCTTCTACATGTTCACACTTCTGTCCATGGTGTTTGCCCTTCCGCTCAGGCAGTTCCTTTCAGCTTCTCTTTCAAAAGAATCTTTCTCCTTTTATTATTAATGGGTGTTTTCTTGGCCAAGAGTTCTGACTTGACTGAGTTTCTCTTTCAGCTCTTTAAAATGTTGTTGCAGGGTCTCTGTCTTCTATTTTTCTTTTCTTTTTTTTTTTTTTTTTGTGTGTGTGTGTGTGTGTGTGTGTGTGTGTGTGTGTGTGTGTGTGTGTGTGTCAGAGGCCAGAAGAGGACACCAGATTCCCTAGAGCTGGAGTTACACGTGATTGAAATCTACCCGACATGGGTGCTGGGAACAGAACCCCAGTCTTCTGAAAGAACAGAGGAGGATGCTTTTAACCACTGAGCCATTTTCCACCTGTTTTCCTTTCAGAACATCTCATCCCATGCATGTAACAGGTCGTTGGCACCTGCTGCCCTCATGAGTCTTTATTGGTGTCTCTGCAGTCAAATTTGATGCACCTCCCCCTCGTTTTCTTTATATTTATCCTGCTTCGGGTTTGTCAAAAATCCTTTTGAATATGTAAGTTGATATTTTCCACAGATTTAGAAAATGATTGGCCATCACATCTTCAGGTGCAATCTGGTGTCATTCTTCAGTGCTGGCTGAATGTAACTATATTCTCTCACAGTCACTTAAGCCTTTTGCTCCTCATATTTTTGTCTTCAATTTCCTGGGTGATCTATTTCTGTTGACTGTCTTCAAGTTCCTTGGTCCTCCTGCCAGCTCTCTTCTGCCTTCAAGATCACTCAGTGAGATTTTCATTGGAGATAATTTCATTTTTGCAGTACCCGTTTAACTCTTCTTAGAGTTTCCATGTCTCTTCTGAGATTTCCCACCTGTTCACTCATTAAAGCCATCATTCCCCTGAGTTCTTGAACATAGTAATAGCCATTTTTAAACCTTCATCTTTGAATTCCAACATCAGAGTCATCTCAGGGTGACTTTCAGTTGAGGCTTGTTTTCCCCCCATGGATGTGGTCCACATTCTCCTATTCCTTCTCTCATCTACTGATGTTTCACTGTGCGATGGATGTTCTGAATGATGTATTGTAGATATTCTGAGTCATTTCTCTTCTCTCCAAAGAATATTAGCCTTTGATATTCAGGGAAGCGCAATCACCAGCTATGTTCTTCACTTCTGAGACAAAATACCTAGAAATAGAAACTTAAAGGGGGAAAAGGGTTATTTTGGCTCATAACTTCAGGCTTTCAACTGTTGTCATTTGGGCCTGAGGTCAGGTCAGCACCACAGTGTAGAAGACTGTGGTGGAGCAGGGTTTCTTACCGCATGGCAGTCAGAAAGAGATAGGGTCTGGGAAGACATTTGTACCCTTCTAGTGACCCATTTCCTCCAGTTAGGCCGTCTTCCCCACCCACTTCCCATCGTCTTCATCTCCCATGGTGCCACATGATGAGTTTGACATCAGTGGATTAGTCACTGATAAGACTGGCAGCCTTCCTGCTCCAAAAGATAGGGCAGACTTTGAAGATTCCCCCAAGGAAGGCCTCACCCTCCCTCAGGAGCAGAAAAGGGTTGGGATGGGGGGGTCATTGGGGGACAGGGGAGGAGGTGAGAGGAGCTGAGATTGACATGTAAAAGAAGCTTGTTTCTAATTTAAATTAAAAAAAAAAAAAGGGACTGGCAGCCTTATAGCCCACTCACCTCTCAGCACCACAGCTGGGGACAAAGACTTCATCATGTGAACTTTTGTGGGGTGTGGGTGAGCTTAATATCCAAGTCATACACTGGCTGAAGACCACAGATGTACACATGATGTAGGTGCTTCTCTGTACTTTTTGTTCAGACAAGTGCACTTTGGGTAGATCCCTTATTCACAAAACAATTGTATTCTAAATGTGATCCTTTTGTAATTTCTGTAGAGGGCAGAGGTGTTTTCCAAACTTTGTTTCCTTGGCAAGGTTCAAATTCCAAAACCCTGTGTCCACTGGAGAGAGCAGCTGAGGCCTCGGCTACTCTGGCCATTGTTGTTCTTGAGCTGCTCTGCCCCTGTGGCTACCAAAGCCAGGAGTTGGCCATAGGCTTCAGTGGATTGTCACCAGATTTGGGGTCTTTCTTGTTTTCCTTTCTAGCCACTCTAGAAGTCCTGCACTTGGTTCCCTGACATCTCAAGCTGGAAGGGCTGTGCTGCAGCAGGTGGGATGGGACTCTGAGACGTGAGGGCAAGCCCATGTGGACCTGGCTCTCGCTCTACAATTCCCACTTTCAAGCATTGAGTCCCCTCAAGTTTTTTTCCTGCGTGACTTCTTGGACGCCCTTTCGAACAGTTTCCACTTATGTGTAGCTCCACAGTTACAGCCATTACCTGAGTGAGCGTATATGGCTTGAAGTTGAAAATCTTGTCTTTTTTCCCTGACGTAACATGCTGTTAATGTCTTAGTGTTTATATTGCTGTGAAGAGGCAACATGACTACTACAACTCTTAAAAAGGAAAATGTGTAATTGGGGCTGGCTTACAGTTTTATAGGTTTAGCCATTATCATCATTGCAGGACTTGGCAGTGTGCAGGCAGACATGGTGCTGGAGAAGGAACTAAGAGTTTTACATTTGAATCAGCAAGCTGAAGATGGGGACTATATCTCACACTGGGCTTAGCTTGAGCATATGAGACCTCAAAGCCCACTCGCACAGTGACACACTTTCACCAACAAGGCCACACCTACTCCAACAAGACCACAGCACTCAATAGTGCCAGTGATTGCAGAACAGTGCTGTTACACCCACAGCTGATGGACAGCTCTTCTGGGACAGTGCTGCTGGCTGTGCCAGGAAGACTGTCAGGTGGAGCTCTCTCCCCCATGCACCTTGAACTTATCTTCACAGGTCTGATGCGCTCTAGAGTCCGGGGTGCCGATGCTGCCCAGGCCAAGGTCCTGACCTTCCTGGACAGTCACTGCGAGTGTAACGAGCGATGGCTGGAACCGCTGCTGGAGCGGGTTGCTGAGGTGAGCCTCGGTTGCACGGAGGGTGTGCTGCATACACTGGCTGTGGGTTTTCTTGACACTGGGAAGGATGTTGATGCCCTCCATATTGTTTCATGGTGTCCTGTTGATACAGAACAGCCACTTTGCCCCAGGAAGACAGGTTCCCTGAAGCTGGCAGGAGCCTGGGAAGAAGAAGTGGCCAGTCACGGGGGAGTATCTTCCCTGCTCATGTATAGGAATATACGTTACCAGAAGGGTTGTCCGTTGGTAGAAGTGCCATCTGACGGGATGTCTGGGGGTAGGACTAGGGTGGCTGCAGTGATAATCCTTGACTCTGGTAAGGACAGATTACCCACCTGTTCCAGGCCTACAAGGAGAAGCAAACTGATTACCACAGTGCCCTTGGTGGGCTTTTCAGGTGATATTTGGCCATACTCGGGCATATTCTGCCTTCTGGAAGCATCACCATTGGTACTGTATTTAGCCTAGTGTTATTTTTCTTGCCTTCTTCTTGTCTTATTGACTTTCTTTCCTGGCTGCTATGAAAGTGCTTCCTTGGGGGCAATGAAGCAAACATAATGAAAGGAAACAGAGAAAGAGCACATTCTGCCTGCCAACATAGCACAAGTAGCAACAGGCAACAAGTCGCAAATACTAAGTGACCAAAAGCTGCTGGAAGCCCTATCTCTGCCCTTTACTGGGCTCAGGTAGCACACAAGGTGCTTTCCCCTCATCTCATAAGTGAGGAAACTGGGTTTCAGGGGACTTCAGTAACATCCAGAACCATATGGTGGGTGGTAGGGTTGCCATGTGGGCTCCACCGAACCCTTAGCTGTGCTGTGTCTTACACACCCATCTGTGTGAGACAACCCATCCTAGTATCCCAACCCCACAGCTTCTCACTCTGCTAGGCCATAACACTAGAAAGCAGAGCTAGGGCTAGCTTCCCTCCATATCGGAGATTCATGGGGTTGCCAGCTCCCAGGGGATGTCACAGTCCCCTCTCCCCTCCCTGACTCCCCATAGCTGAGGAGGGAGTGGGCCAAGAAGGTGGGTTCGTGTCATGTCTTCTCAGCCGAAGGAATGTAAAGCAGATGACGCCCAGCCTTCCAGAGCCAGCCTGATGGGATGGGGGGAGGGGATAGGGTGGCAACATAGACTGCTGCTCTGCTCTCCATGGCCCAGAGCTTATTTCCCGTTAACCTGCAAGCAGCAGGCTGGGGCTTTGTGTGCCGAGCTCTGCCAATCCTGTTGTTGAACTTTTTTCTTTTGAGTCCGTCTTCGGCTGACAATACTCTCTGTAACTCAGAGCCCACACACCCTCTCTTTTATGAACTGTCAGCATGAGGCAGAGCTGAGTTTGAAGGTCCAAGGAGGTCAAAGGCCTTGTGTTTGGTCTCAGCAGAGTGGCATGAAAAAAGGGGGTCTGTGGGAGGTAGGTGTGTCTTGTAGAATCACATTCGAGTTGAGTTAGGGTCTGAAAACTCTAGTCAGTTGCTTTGGGGGTACTGACCTCCACCTCTCATGCCATCTGCACCCAGAAAACATTCCTGGCTTTAAGCACTGGTGCAGCCCATGAGAGGGTGGCAGGCAGAGGGTGGCTGAGCTTAGCTTGTGTGACACTGAAGTCTACCCAAGATTGAAATTTAGGAGTTGACTTAGGGCCACTGCACAGCCTGGGCCTTTAGCTGGGAGAAGTAGCAGAAGTGTCCAGATGTCAGCTGTCCCCTCTCATGCCACCACCCCTACCCATCTTGCAACAGTGGTATCTAATGGGAAGGCCTGTTGGGATGGTGGCTTTTGCTTTGCTGGGGTCGTAACAAGTATTCTTTCCTTCCTTTGTCCCTGCTCAGGACAGGACCCGGGTTGTATCCCCCATTATTGATGTCATTAACATGGACAACTTCCAGTATGTGGGTGCCTCTGCTGACCTCAAGGGTGGTAGGTGTCAGCTGTGATTGGTCTACCTGCTGGCTTGTTCTGCATTGCTAGGTTCCTGACCACTGCTGTCCAATGCAGTGAAATTGACAGCTTAGTTCACATTATAGTATGGACTCTGACTTCCTCACAGAAGGGACTGGCCCTGCTTCTCTGGCAGAAACACCAGCCCCACCCACCACCCTATTATCCCATTCCTGTCTCTCCTGGAGCAGTTGCTCCTAAAGCTAAGGGAATGTGTACTGTCCATGTAAATGGAAGCAGAGGAACCTCCACCACTGATGGGCTGGGCTGAGAGGCTCCAGCACTGCTACCAGCAAGAGGCAGGGCTTGAGACACTCCATAGAACTGAGGATTTGCAGGGTGGGCTTGGAACCTGTGTTTGTGTCCTCTGCCTGTTCCAGCCCTTCCTCTTGTAGCCTACATGCCCAGCCAGCTTGCTACCCTGCCTGCTTGTTGCCCTGGAGTCCTACCATCCTGCTGCTGGCCCCCTTACTGCCCGCCCACCAGGAACCAGTCCCACTTTTGTGCTCAAGCCTGGATGCTGGCCCTTCCTCCCCAGCCACCCAGCTGCAGCCTGCTTCACTACCAGGTGGCCTTTGTTTTTGTGAATGGACCAGCATCTTGTAGGGCCACACAGCCTACAAATGTTACCTTCTGGTGGCCTTCCAGGAACCCAAGAGAAATTGGTTCAAGATTCTCCTTTGCTTCTTAAGAATTGTTGAGGCTCCTGTGCTTGCAGGTGGGAGGGAGACATTAGACAAGACTGAAGTCATTGCTACTCACAGATGGAGCAGGTCACATTGTCCCCGATCTAGCAGCCCAATCCTCCTAACTACACAAATAGCAAGGAGTAGGGTGGAAAACAGCTTCTCTTTTTCTTTTTCTTTTTTTTTTTTCCTTTTTTCCCCCCACTATTAGCTAAGCTGGCCTAGAACCCAAGATCCTCTTGCCTTAGCAGTCCTACTGATTGCTGGGATTACAGGCCCGCACGATCACACCATAGCACTCGGCCTGTAAGATTTTTATCACTGGGCCCTGAAAGGTACTGGTGGAGGCCTGGAGAGCCACGGGTCCCATGGAGTCACTATGTGCTACACTGTGTTTCTGGGAGCCAGTTGTGATTTATCTAGCCCTGACTTGTCCCTAGGTCCCCAGTGTTGTATGCACAGCCTTTTTAAGTACAGTGGCATCACACACAGATGCCAGTTCTCATATTTCACACTTGTTCTTATACATTTTAATGCTAGAAAATCCAAGCCAGACATGATGACATATGTCTGTATTCCCAGCACTCAGGGGGCTGAGGCAGGAGGACTGCTGCAAGACCAACCTAGGCTACATAGCAATACCCTATGTCAAAAATTTAAACAGGTTAGAGGGGCAGGAAAGATGGTTCAGAGATCATGAACATGCACTACACTTCAGAGGATCTGAGTTCAGTTCCTAGCACTCAAATCAGGCGACCTATGACTCCAGCTCCAAGGGCTCCAGCACTCTCTTCTGGACTCCGTGGGCACATAGTCATGACTACACATAGTCATATGTGTAGATTTGTTGTTATGGTTGAGAAGATTTCACTGTGCTCCATACCCACCCTGCCACCCATTTCCCAGGCCCACCCCGGGCGTCACCTTCCCTCATCCTTTTTGCTTTGGTTGGTTGGTTGACAGTGAGTCCACATGCGCTCATTGTCAGCCCGCTAGGGTGGGGCAGCCAGGTGTGAGAGACTCTGTCTCCTCATTGCTGTTTCTTTTCTGGGTCGGCAGGTTTTGACTGGAACTTGGTGTTCAAATGGGATTACATGACACCAGAGCAGAGGAGATCCCGGCAGGGGAACCCAGTCGCCCCTATAAAGTAAGTGCGGTGTATCGTAGAAGCACTCCTTGGGGAGAGCCCAGACTCTGGCCCCTGCGGCAGTGTGCTTCCTGGATACTGGGGCTCTGTACCTCCCACTCTGAGTCCCTGGCCCTGCCTCAAGGCCAGCATCTGCCACCAGGTCATACAGTGAGGAAATTTTAAGTCCTTTTCCCCAGTCGCCTGCTTACAAGGCTTCTCTGCTGGTTCCATGTTGTCTCCTGTCTCCAATGTAGTGTTTTCCGTAGCAGGGTGGAACTGTATGCTATGGCCTTAAGTGTTAATTCTGTGGTGACCTCATAAGTTGAGGCACATGGGATGGTTCCAGCCTCTGTGGGGGCCCCAGGCAATGACTGGAACCCAGTGGAGAATGATGACCCCTTAGAGCAGAGCAGAGGACCGATGCCAGCCTGTGGTGTGAGTCTAACTGTGCCCTTGCTCTCCCTCTGCAGAACCCCTATGATCGCTGGAGGACTGTTTGTGATGGACAAGCTCTATTTTGAAGAGCTGGGGAAGTATGACATGATGATGGATGTGTGGGGAGGAGAGAACCTGGGTACGTACAACCCTCTGGCCTCGAGTCCACTAATGCCACTCTGGTGAAGTGTGGGAGGCAGTGTTTCAGTGGTCAAACCAGCCCCTGAACCCACATATGTGGGTGCATACACTCTGACCACAGGGATGACAGTCAGATGTGTTCCTGGTGTCAGGGCGGAAGAGACAAAAATTCAGGTCTTCCCAGGTTCTGTCCCATCCTTTGACCTGGGAGTTCAGAATGTATGCCTTCAAAACTGGAGAGAGATGGTTGTTTCCAGGGCTCCAGTTAACTGTGTGGAATGGTAATGGGGCCGGTGGCTGCTGGGCTGGCCAGTAGTAACCATGCACGCCACATAAGTGGGCCCTAAGTTCAGATCCTTCTTCACTACTGGTTTTTATGTTTGTTTGTTTTTTTTGTTTTTTTGTTTGTTTTTGTTTTTGTTTTGTTTTTTTTAATTGACCCATGGAGATTGTGTTTGCCTGGGAATGGGCCGTGGTCACTTTACAGGTGGTGGTCTGTATAGGCAGCTGTCTTGACTGTCTTGTGTGACAGATGAAAAGACTCTAGTCAGCTTCTCTGGGGTTTGTTTCTTGTTCTGCTTGAAGCCTTTGATCTCAGGTGCTTGTCATTCAGAGATGACTCCCCTCATGGGAGAGTTTAGTTCCTTTCCTTCTTACACAGGTGTGCCCTGGGAGGAAAGGGGACAAGGAGAGGGAGGGGAAGTGACACCACTGTCACTTGGAGTAGTTTTTCTTGTGACAGAGACTTTGATAGTTTCTGTTGGCTTAAAAGAACCGCTTCAGCTAGCCTGTCATTGGAATGTGTCTTTTGAAGTTGAAGTTGGTAGAGGCATTTCATCTGGTAGGACGCCTCTGCCCAGCGTGATGAAAAGCTGCTTCCAGCTCTGGCTCTGTGTCAAGGGAAAGGGGGGGGTCATGAGTCAGTCTCTTTCCCATGTTTCAGTGTGATGTTGCTATTGGGTGGGCTTGGGTGAAGTTTTGTGAGCAAGAAACGCCCCTGAGCCAGGGACCAGAGCCACCCAGTGGGGCAATGTGTCACCCTACAGAGGTTGATTTATATCTAAGATGACCTGGCCTGGAACCCAGAGAGAGGAGAGCACAGGTTTGGTGTCATGGACTTTTGTTAATATTCTGCTTGATAACCTGAGGGGTTGGGGAAGGCAAGACCCTTGAGTGGAAGCCCATCCCTTGTAGGAGGTCTGGTGTCCTCCAGTCCCTGGCAGGTGCCCCCTGTGGACACTTGGAGACTGAGCAGAGGGTTTGAGCAGGACTACCAGGCTTCCATAGAGCTCTGTGAGTGCCACACAGATTGCTGGAAGCTACCAATCCATGCAGGTTTGGTGGCTCTGATGTTGGGAGGAGAGTGAGGATGCCTGAGAAACATCAGAGCCATGTCTTCCATGTATGCTCCCATGACAAGACTGCCTGTTTGTAGGAAGCGTTTGCAAAAGGGCAAAGGTGAGCTTTGGGACAGAGCTACCCTTTATGCATGGTGGTTTTGGGATGGGTGCTCTGTGCTTCCAGTGCCATAAAGGAGAGGCCTATGGAAGGCATGCTCCATACCCAGGGTCTACAGGCCAACAGCAGCAGCATGGGGATGTCCAGGGCTCATGTGAAGTCATGGTTGAAAGGAGCTGTCTTGTGCTCAGCCTTGAAAGTAGCCTATCTGGCCTCCAGGCTGCCCCTTGGTAGCTCAGCAGATGCCCTGCCCAGAAAGCTCACTGTTGAGTCTTCCTATAGGCACATTCATAGGAGTTTTCTTTCTGAAATAGAGGTCTTACTCAAAGTTTTGTTTGATGCTAGAAAAGTTGAGAACCCCCTGCATCTGTTCAGTTGGAGCTGGCCTCATAATGCAAGGGGATTGGTTAATGGAATCTGTTCTTTCCAAGGGAATTACTCCTATGACTGTAGCTTGCCCTCCTTTCTCTCCACTCTTGGGCAGGACTTCAGACAACACTGACCAGGTGACATTCAGACTCCCAGCATTGCTGCCATGATAGCATGCTGGTCTAGAATATTTAGCTCTCCATTGACTTTATGGTTTGCAAAGATCCTGCCTCATTTTTTTTTTTTTTCCTGTTTCCCTTCGGAGGTTCTCCTGGTTCTGTAGATTTCTCATCATACCGGCATGTGCTGATGGGGATGGCCTATGGCCTAGAGAGAAGTTCGTTCTTCTATGGTGTCTTTCAGAGTGGCACTTGTTGATTTTCCTGTTTAAACTTAGTTGTCTTGCTCAGGTTAGGGGACTGTCCCTGGCCTTTACCTTGGAACTTGGTTGGTACCTGGACCTGTTGATACATGAGAGCAATAGGCAAGGATTCTCCCCCCACACTACCACTACCACCACCCCCGCCCCAAAGGAAAGCCCAATGCATCCTGCCTCTTGGTTAGTGTGGAGGATCAGGGTCTGTGCACTCATCTCCAGTTGACAATTGTGGTGTTACTGGAGTGCACGTAGTCTTAGTCTGGGAGACATCTGCTTTCAGACCAAAAATCATCCTTTGGAGACGTCCGGTCCAGTGGTTTCCATGCATGTTCAATTTTGGGTGTGCTGTGGAGTTGGCCTATCTGGGATTCAGCCAGCATTTCCTCTATAAAAAGTTCCAGATCAGGTTCTGGAGAAGCAGCCCCTCATTGGTTTCCCTTGGCAGTTGAAAGTGAACTATGGTAGGTGGCTAGGGCAGGGGTAGCTGTGCCATGGAGACAGCAGCTATGACAGACTGATGGTTGCCAAATTTTCTTACCAGAGATCTCATTCCGAGTGTGGCAGTGCGGTGGCAGCCTTGAGATCATTCCATGTAGCCGTGTGGGACATGTGTTCCGGAAGCAGCACCCCTACACGTTCCCGGGTGGCAGTGGCACTGTCTTTGCCCGGTAAGTAGTGAGAGGCCAGACCAGCTGTCTGCTTAGAAGACACCCCGGAGCTGTGTGGGGACAGTGTCCTTTGAAAGGCATGGCCCCCAAGCTGAGAAAAGGTGCAGTAGCTAGTGCGCGGGTATTCTAATGAGAAAACTCCAAAACAGTCTCACTGTGCCCCATGGAGGTCTCAGAAAGGCACTGTGGCAGGGAGGGGTGCAGATGTGGCCACTAAAGGTGGGGTAGCAGGGGAGTTAGCACTGGGACATCAAGGAAAGACTACCATGTGATGATCACAAATATCTCAGAGAGGCAACTGGTTTTGTGCTGTATCGCACTCACAGTGCAAATAAGAGCAGTAATTTGTTCTTCCTTCATGTACTGCAGTAACAAGTACTGCTGGCTGAGTCATCATAAAAGCACCATTGTTGGCTAACTGTCCTGATGGCAACACATCTGGAGCCAAGGTGTCCACTCCTGCCAAGGGCTGTCCTAGTGCCCCACATAGTAAAGGGTAAGAGAGGCGAAGGGCATACCAGAACAGCCACAGTCTCGTGACAGTAGAGCTCCATGGCCTGGCCACTGCTTGAAGTTCCTGCCTCTTGGTGTCATTTCAATACAACTAAATTTCAGCATGAGTTCTGAAGGAGCAGACATTGAAACCATATCAGAAGGCAAGTCACACTGCACTCCAGCCAGAAGACATCATGGTTCATAACTGATTAGTGATTGGCAATCAATGTTAGTAGACAAACACTGAAAAGCTGCTTGGTCTAACCAGGTTTTTCCTGGGAATCTTTTCCAGTTCTAACATGGTAGCACACACCTTTAATCCCAGTGCTCAGAAGGCAGAAGCAGGTGGCTGTCTGTGAGTTTGAGGCCAGCCAAGGTTACATAGTGAGGCCCTGTATAAACAAACAAACAAAAAAATACCAAAAAACCTGAGTCAGACCTCATGGGGGCACAGTGTGGAATTAGACCTTCAGGAGCAGACAGCAAAACCTCTAAGCCAGACAAGATGTTTCTAATGCTCGTCTGGTCAGCACCATGGGGAAATGCAATTGGGCTAACTGGGACAGGTTTGACAGATTAAAGGCACTCAGAGCTCCCTGTGGAGATGGCACGGGAGTCCACTGGGCTGCTAACGTTGGGTGTGTTCAGACTGTCAGACCCAGGGGAATATCAGTGCTAGAGTCTGCAGGATGTTTCAGAGGATCTGTCCGTGGTCACTTGCCTGTGTTTCTGGACCTGTTCAGAGACAGGAGCTGGTGGCAGTGCCATGTCAAGAGGCCTCTCACTGCTTGGCAGATGGGAAGTGGAGGGCAAATTGGGCATGCCTCCACCCCCTACCTTTCACCATCTCCAACATCACCACCATATTGTGACTCTACCTAAGAATATGGCCATTGGTTAGGTCAGAGCCTTGATGTAATCATTTCTGCTTCTCAAAGACAAACCCAGAGACCCAGGGGTGTTTCATCATCTGGGCACTTCTCAGTGCAAAAACCTACATGTCTACATGTCCACAACCATTCATCAGTTTTTCCACTGTACACTGTGAAGTGAGGACATTTTCACATACATTTCATTTCTGGTTATTGACCTTGAGGTGAATCTCCAGGGTTAGCACCAGGAGTCCGAGGATGGGCACGTTTGCATCTTGTCTCAGTGGCAACAGTCTGGCCCCTCCCCCAGTGAGGGACAACAGGAATATTTATCACTTTATTGGGAAGATGGAGGCCCCACATGGAGATGGATTTAGTAATTACAGCTCAGACAGTGTGACAGGTTCAGCATTTAAAAGGCTTTACTGCAGAGAAAAAGCTTTACCTGCAGGGTGACCACTGCCTGCCTGCCGTGCTCATTTTGGAAGAGCATGATAGGCCATGTTTCATGTAGCAGAGGGTCTGCTGGTGTCTGTGCTTACAGTGGCCCTTCCTAAGTGTTGTGGCTGCAGACTTTCTTTATGAACCAGAGGAACCCCACACCTGGGCTACGATGTCCCCACCTCTTCATGCTGTCATTTCTAATTTTCACATGACTTCCCTCAGCCTCAGGTCCAGCTTCACTTCCCAGTGTGTGAGTGGTGCTGCATCCCCTCACACTGTGGAGGCTGGGGCGCTGGAGTCTCCTGCTGTGGCCTCCACTAGGGGCTCCGTCTCCATGGCACAGCAGGGATTTTGTCTCAGGAGTGTCTGCACTGTCCTTGCAGCTTCTGCCCGGGGATACCTTGTGCTGTAGTGATTGATGGTGGTTCCATGGGCTTAAACTGAGCACCCTCCCACAGACTCTGACCTAGCTGCTGCTGCACCATGTCACACTCATGGGCACCGTCCTTATTCACACTTCAGCAGACATGCTCAGACAGGTGACTCTGGGGAAAGGCTGGAGGCCACAGCTCAGGAAAGCTGATTTGTTTTCAGGAACACCCGACGGGCAGCTGAGGTCTGGATGGATGAATACAAAAACTTCTATTATGCAGCAGTGCCTTCTGCCCGAAATGTGCCCTATGGAAAGTGAGTGCTACCTGCCTGCTCCTCCTAGTGGATATGTTGGGAGCATGTGGGAGTAGCTTGCTGTGTCAACAGGGGCCTCTGCTCTTTGCCAGCAAGACCCTGGTGGGAGGTGAACAGGTCACGGGCACCAGAGCTGGACAGTCCAGTCCATGCCATACCTCCTAGGTCATGTTAGTCTCCCCGGCATTCAGAACTAAATGTATCTCCCTTTCCTCCAGTATTCAGAGCAGGCTGGAGCTCAGGAAAAAGCTGAGCTGTAAGCCTTTCAAGTGGTACCTGGACAATGTCTACCCAGAGCTAAGGTAAGTCCTGGGGCTCGAGTGTATATTGCAAAGGCTGGGAAACAAAGATGATCAGAGAGGCTGCAGAGGCCTCATGCTTGCTGGGAGACTGGGAGAGCATGTGGTCCCATCACCACAGATGCCTACAGACCCTACTCTCTTGCAGAGCTATCCTTGCTCGGTGGGAGCCTGGGAGAATCCCAAAGCACCCCTGATTTGGTTTGTCCCGTATTAAGAGGTGGACCAGCGAGGCAGAGGCTGTCTCCCCATGAGTACATTGTCTCCAGGAGTTAATTCTGCTCCTCTGTCCTCTCCCCACAGCACCCATCAGCTGTTACTGCCTTCTTAGTAAGTGTAGGATAGGATTAGTAATGATGGTGTCCCACCCACTACTGGAGGGTGAGTGACAGACACTCTGCTGAGCCTTTCCTCAACACCACTGTACCCTGTAAACTGTCAGGATCTGTATCCTAAGGGCTCCAATACCCAGTAGAACCAGTGGGCCTCTGGCAACAGGTGCTGCCAGCTCATTCTCATCTTCAAGGGCCCACCCATTAATCACTGCCACCCAGGAGAGCCAGTTAAAGTTTAGTATGACCCTTAATCAGGCAACCACGGTCTCTGGAAGGTGAGGCCAAGGTTTTGTCCCCTTCCTAAGCACACAACGCTCACTATACACCTTGTCTGCTTATGTACTGTGGACCACTTAATTCCTCACAGGCTGTGCCCTACTGGGCAAGGTCTCAGTCTGTTGAAAAATACAAAGAACCAGACCTGGCCCCTGGCAGTGGCTTTCTAAGGGACATCCAGCAAACCAACCTGTTAAACTTCTCCCATTCACAGTTACTTTTGTCATTTTGATAGGGTCCCTCACTCTGTAGCCCAAGCTGACCTCAAATTCTCAGAGACATCCTCCTTCAACCTTCTGAACATTGGAATTACAGGCATGTGCCATCATGCCTGGCCCACTTACAGTCTTAGGAACCCAGAGGCTGTAGCCATATCGTGTCAGGTGGTGATAGGAAGCTGTCTGTTTCTGCCTAATTTGAGGCTGTGTGTGTGCAGAGGAGCGGTGAACAGGAAATACAAGGTTGCAAAGGAGCCCTTAACTCTCATAGTGAATACCTTTCAGGGTTCCAGATCACCAGGACATAGCTTTTGGGGCCTTGCAGCAGGGAACCAACTGCCTGGACACATTGGGACACTTTGCTGATGGAGTCGTTGGAATTTATGAGTGTCACAATGCTGGAGGAAACCAGGTAGGTGGGCAAAATGCTTGCACCTGCAGGCCCAGAATCCTCAGCTGGAAGCCTTGGACTGCTGCGGAAAGCGCTGGCCCTGTCATCAACCTCAGAACCAGTTGAGATGCTGCAGTACCGAATGACACCTTGAGCTGCTCATCTGCTGTGTGCTGTGCTGCAGTGGTGAGGGACACACGGATGGAAGTTGACATCAGCACCTGTTATTCAGGCTATGACTTCAGTCGTCATAGTGCTGTAGCCACTCCCACAGTACCAGACCTGCATCTGCACCCGTGTTTGTCCCTGATTAGCACGCACTTAGCTTCAGCCTTTTCAGGTGGAGGACAGTGCCTGATGGTGAAGTCCAACAGGTGTTGGGCTCCGATCCTTGACAGGCTTGGTGATTGGCACAGTTTACCACTCAGCCTGGGTGCCTCACCCCACAGGCCCAACTGGGATCCATGAGCCCCTTCCTCAGTGCTATCCATGGAACCATGTGCTGTGCTAGAAATGTTCTAGAACTGCAGCCAGCAGCCGCCCGTGCACATGATGAGCTCCTAAGATGTGCCTGCTGTGTGTGAATTGAGTCTTCAATTTTATTTAACTCTACAGAATTTAAATTCAGGATGTCATGTGTGGCTGGTGGCTAGCACTCCAGTGCTTGCAGGGGACCCAGAGGCAAAGATGACACCAGCAGTCCCTACCATGACTAAGTCCTCTTTAGGTTAATGGAGAGTGAAGCTTTTTGGGTAAAGTTAAGCTGCACGGCACTTGCAGCATGGGCTCTCATGTTTTGCAGCTCAGCCCCAGCAGCACACAGGAAATGAGAACATTAATGGCCACGCCTTTTAAGGATGGCAGCTCATAAAAACATCTCTCAAATGTTTTACAAATTCAGGTTTCTCAAGAACCCAGCACAGAGGTTGCATAGGCTGCTTGCATAGGCAAATCAGATTTTTGGAGTTCAGTGTATGGTCCTTATTAAAGTAATGAAGTACACAATACCCACATGTGATCTTCCTGGCCAACCATGGGCCTCCCAGCATCTTGCCACAATTGTCAAATGAAGACAGTCTAGAACTCTGTGCTTGGAGTGACTCTGCTGACCACAAGCATGTCTCCAGCAGTTGCCCACATATAGGTATGGTGGACATGGAATGAAGGTGGCAGGGGTCCCTGGACTTCCACATCCTAGAGCTGCAGTGTACCAGGGACACCTAGCTGCATCTCCACACCCTGGGCACATCTGGAACCAAGCACACTGGATAAATAGCAGACAAACTATGTATGAGTTTTTACTGTGTTGGCAAAATACTTAACAGCTTAGGAGAGAAAGAGTTTCTTGTGTTCACACCTTGTGTCTGGAAGCCGACAGGAACTGAGGTCGGACTACAGAAGGGCCTACCCCCAATAACTCAAAGTCCAGTTACTTCCTGCTAATGTACACAGAGCAAACATTCCCATTTCAAGGCAGAAGTAGAGATATAACAAGGAAAGATCAGACTAAAGCCCCAGACCACTGTGCCTCCAGGCTCACTTTCTCTTCTTTCCCCAACCTCTCTGTCCTGAGCCCCCTCCTCCCACACCTTCTGCACTTCTCAGGGAGTCAGGAGACCATGCGTCCCAGTGGAAGCCCTGAAATAGAAGTTCTGTTCCCTTTAGGTTTCAATGTCTTGCTGCCACCACACTACTTGTACATTGATAGGGAGGCTTCTCTGGTGACTGTTTATCACCCTGTCCTTGTGGCCTCAAAAAGAACAGGCAATCTTTGTAGCACTTACAGAATACGTCATGCATCTTCCATTTTCCCCACTGAGGGACACAGGTCAGTGACAACCAGAGGAAAGTCAAGAAGCTCCAGGGCCTGGGCAGCTCAGTATCCCCATGGGATGCTGGGCTGACCGGCACCTCCAATTCTGGATTCTGGAGGCCCTGGGTGGGTGGCTGTTTCTCTGTGTAGCTTTGGAGCCTATCCTGGCACTTGCTCTGGAGACCAGGCTGGCCTCGAACTCTCAAAGATCCACCTGCCTCTGCCTCCCAAGTGCTAGGATTAAAGGTGTGTACCACCAACGCCCAGCAAATGGATCAGGTTCTTAAGTGGCCTTAGGAAACCTTACCTTCTGACCCTACATAGAACCTTCTACCTAGCCCTGGCCACCCATAACAGTCACTCGTTTTCTCCCCAAACTTCCGTGCTTCTACATGATCTTGTTGAGCATTAAGAGAGTGTGATTGACAGCCTTGCCTTCTGCGTGCACACGCATGAAATGCATTTGACCCAATTTTCTTATCTGCAGAGTAGACATACAAAGCCCTCATGCAGTTCTTGTGAAAGGCTTGAGAAAGCTTGGCATATAGCGAGAATCCAGTTAGAGGGAACCATGCTGTGTGTTGACATGTAGATTGTTCCAGCAGAGCAATGGGACTTCGTGAGGACCGGAAGCAGGTTCCTGCAGACTTCAGCCCTGTAGATATTTGCTGAAAGCTACAATGTATCATTTATAGAGTTTTCACATAATCAACCTACATTCATAAATCTGTTTCCAAGCCATTCCAAAACAGTGTGAGAGGAATTGTGGGTGAGAGCAGGACCATTGACCCTGATCTCTAGCTTGCATTTGAAACTAAAATACTTAATATGGTTCTTCTTGATTACTGTTTGGTAGCTTTTCTTGGTGTTTTGTTTAGTCACATTTCTTGATGTGGTTCATTTTTGTTACTATATTAATGTCACTTTATCACTATACTAAAGCCTTTTCTTGCTGCTCTGACCAAATACTTGACAGAAACAACTTGAGGGTGGGTTTATTTTGACTCCTGGAATGAGAGTACAGTCAGTCCGTCATGACTTGGGTGGCTTGCCAGCATGCATGTCTTGCAACTGAGGCTGCAGGAGTGTGAAGTTCCACAGCCTCCCAGAACAGAGTCACCAGCTGGGGCCAACATGTTTAGACACATTTGCCACCAAAACATAGCAGTTCCCAAGGCAAGCTTAGCAGCCAGGTGGTGTAGGTTTGTGCCTCGGCTGGGGGCAGCTGGCTGCCTCTGAGTTAGCCCTAGGGTCCAGAGTCAGGTGTCCCAGATGATTGCACTTTGACTTGAGGCGTGCCTCTGACTGTGCTCTCTCCCAGGAATGGGCCTTGACAAAGGAGAAGTCAGTGAAGCACATGGACCTATGCCTTACTGTGGTGGACCGTTCACCTGGCTCACTCATCAGGCTGCAGGGATGCCGGGAGAATGACAGCAGACAGGTGGGTCACTCGGGAACAAGGTGGCAGGGGTCCCAGGCTTTCATGGTGTTCAGTGACAAGGGCCCCATGCTCATCTACCTCACACCTAAAGTCCAATTGCTATCATCCATACACTGGGGGTCTCATGTCACATCGTCCCAGCTTCCTTTCCTTCCTCACACCACAGAGCATTTAACAAAAACATTAACTACTTGTTTTTCCTGTTTAACTTTACAAAATTCTAATCTGAATGGTTAAACAGATGAGCCATGCAAGCACACAGACTCAGTAGTAGTCACCCACATTCCACAGAAAACAGGCTTTGGGGCCTTAAATCTGAGCCTCTCCATGGCTCGCCATATGTAGTATGACATTTTCCTGAAGTCCAGGGCCACATCAGCCTCTTCAGCTCCCTGTCAGCCTATCATAAAGGGAGCAGCAGCTCACCCACAGTGCCCTGGACTGCATGGCTAAGAGTCAGGAGGTACATTTATGTCTTATTCGGGATCACAGAGTCTTAACCCTGGTGAGAGTTGAGGAGCCTCTCTGTATATTGCTTCTAACATTGGGTCAGAGCTTACTGGAAGCCTTGGAAGCTGGTCTTGTCTGGCATACTCCCTGGGAATCTTGAACACACCACCTGTCTAAGCCCTAGTGTGATAGCTGGTATTAGCAACAGCAGTGCAGGCAGGCCCTTCTAGCCTACTACAGGAGGAGTCAGCTAGTCTTCTATAGTTCCTCCCTATGGAACTATGATGAATGGAGAAACTGAGGCATGAGGGCATGCCACAGCTAAGCCACCTTCCATCCACCTGATTGCACAAAAAAGCAGCAGAGGCCCAATTTCCCCATCCACCACCTCTAGGAGTGGGGGCACAGCCGTCATCCAGTTCCTGTTTAGATCTGAGGTATCAGAGAACTGTTTACAAAGGGTTCTCTCTCCTTAGTCCATCTCCAGAGTGCTGCTCCCATCTCTGGATGCCCTGTCCTTATCTGCAGAACCCGAGCCTACCCTGTGCTCACTCTAAACAGTGGTCTCTGTTGGTTCAGTTGTACAACTTGAGCCATACCCTATAGGATAAGATTGTGAATGCTGAGCCCGGAAAACCACTGTCCCCTGCACCCAAACACATCCAGGTTGGCATGGAGGATAGTTTCTGGCCACAGCCCAAGTGCTCCTGAAGTGGCTTTGTCATAAGGCAGTGCTAAAGTGAGACTTTAATCTGGTGTCCAAAACTTTAAAAAAGAAAACAAGTCATTACTGTAAGGGTTGATAAAAACACCTGTGCCAGTGTTATTCTTGGGGTCCCTAACTGAGCTTCTAAGACAGGGAAGGCTACACTTGGTCCTTCTGGGTGGTGAGTACAGTTTCTGGATGGAAGAACAGCTTCAGTAAATCCACCACACTACTGGATCCCATCAGATAGCTACCAGTACTGAGGACCACCTTTCAGGGACATCTGTGACTTCATTATTTTCTTAGCACCCTCTGTCTAGTTGATGCTTCAACCTATGACAGACAGGGTCCCCCCCAGGACCCATACTCTTTGTCAGGCAGCGCAAAGGACTTGGCAGACCCAAGCATGCTTTCCATGACAATGCAGGGGACATGAGAAAGCTGACAGTGTCAAGGACTAGGAGGGAATGAGAAGGTGCAGGTGGCAGAGCCTCTCTCAGGCTGTGCTTGCCCTCGATTCCCACTGTTGGCACAGAATCTGAGTGAGCAGGTGGAAGATAATCAGGAGGGTCAAGAGAGTGCTCCCATCACCCATGCTTTGGAGGGTCAGCCTCATGCTGGAGGTTGCACTTTGCTGCCCCACCCCCACCCCGTCTGCTGGTGAGAGGCAGCTCCTTGGCATGTCTCAGTGTGGTGGTCTTACCATTTGACCAGTAAGAACATTGGGTTTCCAGGCACATGTGTGTCTGTGCATCTGCACAGTCGAAAGGGGAGAGAAGGAAAGAGTGAGAAAATTTAGTTCCACAGTGTCAGTAGAGTTTTCAGAAATACTTACTCCAAGGAACTTCAGTGCATGCATAAAAAATTAATCGGGGCCATGGAGCTGTGGGGAGAAAAAGAAAAGTGTGTTATTTAAACCAAAACATAAACGTTTAAATAGAACATTTACATTTCTTGCTAAACAATAGGACAAGGGCACCTCAGACTTCTTTGTGCCTGGCAGAGTGGGTTGGTGGACTTACTGGCTATGACTGGTTCTAGTGTGCTGGCATTCACAGGAGCATCGTTACAGTAACCGATGCCCCAGCAGTAGCACATTGAGAACGCAGCATGCAGGGCAGTGGGGACTCCTGAGCAGAGAAAGACTGTACAAATAGCAGGTGTGTGCCGAGAGTAGCTCGCAACCCCATACTGCCTTACACGCCTCTACCCTTGCTGTGCTCCTGTCTGTTGCAGAAGTGGGAGCAGATCGAGGGCAACTCCAAGCTGCGGCATGTGGGCAGCAACCTGTGCCTGGATAGCCGCACGGCCAAGAGCGGAGGCCTGAGCGTGGAGGTGTGCGGCCCGGCCCTGTCGCAGCAGTGGAAATTCTCACTCAACCTGCAGCAATAAGAGGCCCCAAGGGCTCGCCGTCCACCTGCACACCGGCCCAGTTTGGTGATCACCATTATGTTTCTGAAACTTTCCGCAAAACTATATACCTCAGTGTTCCATCATGGTGTGAAAGTCTTAAGTCTCAAGTCTTCAGCGAGGCATAAGCTGGGCTGACAGCTGGGCGGAAGAGGAAATGAGCCCCTGGGGCTCAGGACAGAGGGTCCCTCCCAAGGCTGGAATCCTCTGCCTCCTGCTTTCTACCTTCTGCTCACTCCCCAGCAGAGGAACAGCCCAGTGCTGGCCGGAACAAGTGGACAAGCAGTAAACATGTTTATATTGAGGACAGAGGGAGCAGGAGCAGCTGCCCTCACAGCAAGAACTCAAAAATCTCCATTTTGTTTTTTTACTCATCCAAAATCATGTGTGTGAACCAGGCATGGTGGCCAATGCCTGTAATCCGTCACTCAGGAGGCTGAGGCAGGCAAGACGCTGTCTAAGGGGGGGAAAAAAGTGATTTCCACAAAGCCGACCTTTCCTTGCAGATTTCCGTGTTTATCCCTGTCCTTGTACCTCTGGGCCAGCTGCCCTCCCAGCCACTTCCCCTCTTCCCCTGACGTACTTGCTGTATTTGAATATGAACTTTCCTACGAGTGGGACACTCAACAGAGATACATATAAAGAGAATGGCGGTCAGTTCCCTATGCTTTCCCTACATCACCATCGTGAACCCCACAGCGCAGCTCGGCCATGCAGAGGGGCCTGCATTCCCAGAGCCAAAGGTGACATCACTGTCTCTGGAACCTCACCAGCCAGTCCACGCTGCTCTGCCAGGTGCAGACGTCCCTGAACCACTGGCCCCAGCCCATAAGCATCAATGTTTAACTTCAACAAGGGAGTTGCGGCTGGGTTAGAAAGTCCACTTTGTGCCCATTGTCATCTATAAACCTAAATAGGTTACCTCTTTGGCAAGTTATTACTTTGGAGTTTTCTTTTAAAAATTAGATTTCTTTTCTTTAGGAAAACTCAGTCCCACAGCTTCTAACTAATGTGAGCCAATAGGACCCCACTGCCTTGTGACAGACCAGGGACACTGGACAGCTGTCACATGCTATCCCAAGGTTCATAGTGGCTTGAGGCCCCATATGTTGGGTCTTTGGCACTAACTGAGCTGCCGGCAGAGCACAGAGGGCCAGCCCTTTAGCATGTGGGTGAACCCCACATTGTCTGCAGCCCTGGAACAGGTGATACCCCCAGGTAGATCCACAGGCTGGTGCAGGAACTGTGGGTAGAGTTAGGACCACAGGACCTGTGCATTCACATGGTGGACCCAGGCATATGTCAGCCACAGAGGCAGCCTGGATGTCTGCCTTGTAGGGCTGCAAGCGTCACATGCGCACATCTCAGGTGTCCCAGAGATCACAGGAACCATAGCGTTTCAGGCGGTCAGAGGGCCTACAAGTGAATGCTCTGCTTCAAACCTGTACCAAAAGGGGGCATGGCTAGTTATCTTCTACTTGAGGAGTTCCATGTGTGTGCACACCATGACCACGGGCCCTCTGTGAAGGGCTGGCCAGGTGCTGACCCTCTGTCTTTTTAACCCCTGCCAAGCAGCCAAAAAAAAAAAAAAAAAAAGAACCATTATAACAGACACA